TCTCACACACACACACACACACACACACACACACACACACATACCCACACAGAAACTTACCGACACCCACGTAATAATGTAGCGTAATCTCTCCAGTTAATGTCCAAACTTTTATCAGAAACAAATACAATGTATACAAAACAGTACCGCTTGTCCTTCCATTTCTATAGAACAGGGGGGGTAACTAGTAAAATAATCGAGTCGCTGCAGTATTGTCCTCTTGATTTCTTGAGGTCTGCACATTATGACTGGACAGGTTCCTCTTCTTGTCACATTTATAACAGGATACTGTATCCATTACGGGGTAGTGAGGGAGGTGGTGAGGATAAACTGTCCTACCATTATGAAAATGAAGTTAAGAATTATAATGTTGGTTGGGTTTTTTTAATTGGTACCCTGGTGAATTCCAATTTGTCATAACATGTTTTTTTCCACGAAAGCAATATCATAATAATGTTGACTCTCCATTTCTTCAAAGTTGTACTTTGAGTTGCATTACTGTTCGTAAACCAAAATGAAGGCTAAGTATACAGCTATCAAACAAATTGCACCTTTAACATAAATGGTAGCCTATCCCAAACACCGTGAAGTTTCAATTCCCTAACGTCGTGGCAAACACCTTTTCGCAAACCACAACCTCAACCAAGAGAATTTCCAAACAAAATTTCGGTTAATTCCGAATAACGTCTTAATTCATGAGCATCTGCAATTCGGAGAAGCGGTTTCGAGGAGGGAGCCATAGCCCCAATATAATAGGGCTCTAACAATGTTCCCGTGCATGGTCCTCTTTGTCCCAAATCGATCGTATTTGGTCGTCTGGCCAGTTGGCAAGGGACGATGCTGCCATGCAGGGATCTCACAACTAATCATAGAGGATTTGTGTAACGGTCGGGGAGTTTTTTCAATTGTTACTTTATATTACTGGGATCTGTACTGTAGTCTGAAAGTTGAAAGCCTAGCTTTGGGCCTCTTAATGAATAGATGTGTGCTTTAGTGACGTGTTTGGGCGGGCTCTGGCTTCATTTGGGTTTTGTTCTATTTTCTGATAACGTCAATCTAGAATTCCCCGCCCCCTTCCTTCAATTCGTCCTCATTTTCTTCCTTCTCCTTCTCCTCCTTATCCTCCTTCCCCTCCTTCTCCCCCACCTCCCTCTCATCATCATTCCTCTCCTCTTTTTCCTTCTCCTCTTCTTATTTGAATCCGCATGTTGTTGTTGTCGTTGTTGTTGTTGTTGTTGTTGTTGTTGTTGTTGTTCTTCTTCTTCTTCTTCTTCTTCTTCTTCTTCTTCTTCTTCTTCT